GACCACAGGACAATTTTGTTGATTTCATTAAAAGGACCCACACATAATTCACCCTTCTTCAGTATCAATTTCTGTTATTTAACACCTAACACTGCAAACTGTTATACTAGGTTATCAAGTTTATTAATCATAGTACAGAGTTAATCAAAAGAATACCGAAGACACTAGGTAATCGACAAATCCGCGTCAGTAACTGTCTAGTGATCAATATCTGCTTTTTTATAAAACGTCCTATTTTGTACTACCACCTTTTTTTCATACTTCGATACAATTCAATCGACTAGACTATTCTTGATGTAAATAGATCATGATACCAGCTACAATTGCGGCGAACAGTATGAACTGGAGTCAGTGAACAAGTGTCATCGGAGATTTCGGTTTTCACATTAAATTATGAGGCTGAACTGATCAGTATTCCCCTACATAGTGGCTTTTGCAACCAGACCTTGATTATAAATTTGAAAGTAACCAAATGTGAAATCCATGATTATTATTTTGTGCTTTCTTAAATTTTCTAGGGTGGATGTTAGTACATCCCAGTATACTCACACTCCCATCGTAATTCAAACCCGGAACCCGTCGCTTGAAAAGTTAGACTTGACCATAGAAAATAATGAGGCACATATAAAATAACCAATTTACTAACAAATGTTGACCATCTCAGTTCTAAAAGCCAACAATTAGGAAAACAAAAATCCTAATAATAACTAATAACCATCAATGTGGCTGTTACAGGTCGTACTGTAATGCATAACACTATATCACTTTAAGCTACTGATACCGGTTCTCAGAAAGAACAACACTACTTTTACCTAACGAGGTATAAATAAGCTGACTTCTGTTTTGCGTCACAACAAAATATGGCCATTTATGCAGTGTTTCACGTTGACGTGCTTACCTTGTGGACACCACCTAGATGTCTGGTGACATGCAGACTTTCCTATTCGCACTTAATCACTAGGTTACCAATTTCCACAATTATTATTTGTGCCTTGCATTATCGAAGTGCAAAATACTTTTCAAAGATTGACGGGAATCTGTACCTGCACTCAAACTTGGCAGTGAACTAATGGAAGCAGTCGAAAAGTGCATAGCTCGTGAAGTAATGCATGAGGTTTCTAACTATAGATCGATACACACCAGTCTAGCTCACCTATGGCTCTGTCAGGAAATTTATCTAATTGAGGAAGGTTGACTCTAAAACGCCTTGATGAGGATAGTTACCTTCTAAGCTTGTGAAACCTAGCCTCTACTATCTAAACATGTTCGATCTCGATTACCGTTGTTTAGTGTCCAAAGAATTAATACTTTTAGGTGTAACTGATTATGAAATCCAGTGGAGCGTGTTCGAGAGCTATGAGAATCATCACTGTTTCAATACAGTCATCTAATTACATTGACTTCAACAGCGCATACAGGTTTTGCACACGCTATCCTAACGAATTCATACTGCTTGATAGCCCCTGTGGATCGGTAAAAACAAAGGAAATGACAAGGTGTACCATTGAAACCTGGGAAGTGAGACCACATAACTCTATTCTTTACGAAAATAAAAGCTGTGGCTTACAGTCGATTACGACAACTTGGTTTTATTGCCTTCTCTGAGCTGGGTTGTTTAATCGTGGAGCTTATATCGTCTTTCTAGAAGACATCAACACTAACTTCAGTATGAAGTGAGTTGTCAATATCTCTCCATCAGTGATTTAGTAGCGTGCCCTGGTAGTTGGCTGTTTGACTTATTCTTTATTGTGAATTCGTTGTCACTGAAAACGTTGTTGATCGAACTGTGTTTTCTATCGTCCTTTTTGACGATGACAAAATTATCGTCTATGTAGCGAATCCAAATGTTTGGTTCAATCACAGGTAGAATGGTGGCTTCCAACCACTGCATCACTGCTTCTGCAATTAGTCCGGATATTGGTGTTCCTTTCATCTGTTTATGTGTCTTGTCATTGAATTGGAAGTATGTTGTCAGGCAAAGGTCAATGAGTTCCACCAGACTCGAACACTGGAGTTTTGTGCGTTCTGAAAGGCCTGGGTCTTCAATGAGCAGGAGTGACAGTTTCTTTGGCCAATCGGGGTTCGATGGTAGTGTATAGTGCTGTCACATCGAAGGATACCATTAATTTGTCGTTTTCTGTATTAATGCTTTTGATTTTTTCTAAGAATCCTGTTGGTGATTTGATTGAATGTCCACATGATGGAATGAAGTTTCAGTTTTCTCGAAAGTTCTCTTGATACGTTTTATATTGGAGTTCCCGGAAGTGAGACTATTGGTAGTAGAGGGATGTCTGATTTGTGTAGTTTTGGTTTGCCGTAGAACCGAGGAAGGACAGGTCCATTCGCCATGCCTTGTTATTTCTTCTGCTTGGTTCAAGGTTTTATTGGTCTGCTTGTCGACAAAAAGATCTAAGTTGATAAACATTCATTCAAAGCCGATAGATATACTTTACTCATTTTCTCTTCTATTCAAGAATTCTGTCTTTACTTTAACTATCAATGATTTTATACACTAAATTTCCATCCCTAGCGAACATTTAATATTGTTATGGTTCATTTTTTTAATGAGTATTAACTCAATGTGAGGCCATCAATAAGTCATACATAACTGGATATTACCCAAGATAACCTTTGTGAGTTGAAAAATTCAGTAAGAAACATGTTGATGACTATCCCTTCTTATGTAAACAGTCACTACATCTCTACGAGTGTTAGGAAAATATTTTACCAACAGGCATTGTAAAAGGCTAAGCGTAGTTATAGAGAAGAACAAGTAGAACAAGCGAGCGTACAAACTCAGTGATGTACTAATACTATTTCAAAAGTTGTGGGTGGTTGATTTAGGGAGATGACTTACAACCACTGGGTTCCAGGTTCATGCTATGCTCCACGTACCGAAGTTTGGGAAGCCAGGTACTATCATTAACCCCCACAAAATAGGTGTGGCTCATGTGCACAAGGCTGCTGAGTGCATTTAATTTCTTAAATTAATTGCCTCTGAACAACAATATTCTGAACTACGAATGAAATACCTATCATAATTAAGTACGAAATAGTGAGACACGGCAATACAATTACCAAAAGCTTAATATATACTGAATAATTTAGTTAATCAGAACAACTTGAAGAGATATATATTTTATGAGGACCAAGGTAATTAATACAGTAGTAACTGAATACAAATAAATGACTCCTGAATAACCAATTTACTGCTCTAAATACCGTGCAACAAGACACAACTATCGATAAGAAATCAGTTCTATCCTGATCAAGCAGCAGATATAGGGAACTGGTAATGATTACGAGATCAAATCAGTTAGTTTTGTAACACAAATTTTTCTTTTGACATTTTGTGATTCAATTTTGGGGTTTGTGGGGATTTATTGATTTCAAGTGAGCATCTATCATGGCTAACATCAGTTGGAGGAGCAGCAGAAACCTGAGAGCACTGGAAAGCTGTTCCATCATAGTATGGAACTCCTCAGAAGTGCGCACGCATGATCGCGTTACGGAAGTGAGGACAGATGCTGACCAATGATATTGTGTGATGACCGTGCTATGTCATGAACTAACAGAAGTTGAAAATGTGGGTCACTGGATTCTGCCCACTGACTCAATGGTAACGTGCTGGCCGCGGAACTTGAAGGTCCTGGGTTAGAACCATGGCGAGGTCATGGGTGGGTACTGATGAGGAGTCCCACACAAAGAAGAAACAGTCGTCCAGTGGTTCCAAGTTTCTAATATCAGTCCATGTGGAATACCAACTTAACATTTTGTTATCCTTAATGTAAAATACTGACTGTTGAAGCAATCAATAACGTGTCACAATTTGACACAAAGGCATAATTATTTACTCACAACAAAGGCGAATAGTGAAATTTCGCATATATTTTTATTTAAGCATTTCTTACATAGGAATTATTGGTCAACATAAAATTGGAAAACCAAGAAAGAGAAAATAATTGCATTCAGTGGTTTTCTTTTTTGAAGAAAAAATTGTTTATAAAAAATAAACAAACAAAAACTGGGGCAGAAATTTTTTTAAAAAGCGAACACTTATAAAATAACATGAATTCGCACTAAAATTAACAAATGTAGTGTATAATATGATCACTAGAGCTCACATGTGTGATGCTAGTGTATACAAAATAAAAATGGTGAATATATATTATATATTCAACAGATGAGATCGAACAGATGCTAAATCATAATATAAGATGATATTTAAAAATCCTGACGCAGTCGATTAAAATATTGAAACATTGAAAATGGTAAAGGAGGCACATATAAATATAGTGCACACTAAGAGGATACAATAATAAGTAATAGTAAAAATACAAGAATAATATACAACTAAAGTTGAGAGACACATACATAGACAATATAGTACAATGAACTAAACAATAGTAATATAACCTATGCCATATAATAAATCAGTGAAATAAAAACATTTCAACATCAGTCAGATAATAATGATTAAAGTACAAACGTAAAAACAAGTCAGTGAGATAAACAAAATTGGTTTAATTCAGCTGTTGCATCGTTGTTGTTAGGTGGTAGTTGAAAAGTATAGGGGCTAGGTGAAGGGATAATGCACAATTTTTAGAATCCTAAGACTAGTTAATGCATTTCTGAAATATTTATGAGAGTAAAAAAAAACATTAACGATAATGATATTCTGCACAAGAAGAATGTGAACCGAAATGAAATAAAATAAGATTACACTGATCTTTAGATATAAGTTTATAAACGTGTAAAACTAAGGAGGAAGAACATAACAAACAAATAAACAAACTGGTGTTAGCATATATGACAGTAATAATAAATAATGACATAACTGAGAGTAGATTAAACAGAAATCTCTTTAACGAAAACAAAAAAAACAGGAAATTTATTTCTCCTATTATCTCAAGAACTGACCTCGTCTATTTGGTATGCTTACCATGAAACAAGAGGCTTCTTTTCGTCAAAAGAAAGCCAGAAAAAGTGATGAAATTCTATTAGACTGATGGATGATAGTTTCGATCAAGCGTAGGTAAACGATTCATTGTGTTTTTATGTTTCTCTGTAGCATATTCACCAATGAATGAACCTTCTTCATTGAATTTACCTACATAATTTAAAGGAATGTGAAACAATTCGGTGATTCATGTAGGAAAGTTTATGATTCTGGTATTGTAAGATAGAGTGTAGTCTACTGATTAGATATTTACAAAGATAATCAATATCACTTTTTTGATTGACAATAATAAAAAAAAATAATCACTGTCTACACTGACATTAACTAACTTATTTTTTCTTGATAGTATATAAATCGAATGGAACTGAGTAACCAGTTTAGGGTCTAGGTAAATGACAGCTATTGTATTAGAACTAACGATACTAACCAGTCGACATCAATGAATCAGAGCAAGTTAAAGTGTGTAATATGATAAGTGAAATACAAACAGGTTAATGCCCGAAACCGCTACTCTATTTCTAGATATCGAAATATTACCTGTTCACTTTTATAGTTAACTGTGTGTATAACTTGTACAGTGATACACTTACACAGAATGATTAGATTAGTGTATGGATAAAGGATGAGAAAGATATAGGCGAAGATTATAGCTATCTAACCTACCATTGATTAATGATAAAAGCTACACTTAAAAAAAAACCCAGGGAAATGAAGACATTGAAACTAAACAAATTTATAAATCATAGAGCATACCGGGATCGAGATTGTAATCATCTAATTCGCCGTCTGCATCACTTCCAATTTCAGCGCTATCATCATTCAAGGAGCAACGACTACCTCGAAGAGGTGGTTCTTCACTGAAATGACAAACGGAAGAAAATAAAGAATTTTCAAAACTATATATATTATTAAACCTCGTCTGGTTAACTAGTTTACTAGTTACTAGCCGGTCCTAAGCTCGGGTAGAGAGGGAAGGTTGGCCGTTGGGCTAGCTACCCTACCCCGGAAAACCAATCCAGTCGCCAAAGAAACTTCAAAGCACAGACAAAATATAAAACATAAAAACAAACTTATTCCTCACTGGAATCGGAGAAACGAAATGTCGCCCGTTGGTGAAAGCCTTCGGGAAGCCAGTTGGCCGATGTGTGTTCTCTTCTCTCAATGCAAGCGAAAGTAAGGATGGGGATATGGAATGTCCCCACTATGTTTGAACCTAACAAGGCAACCCAGATTGCAAACGAGATGAGAAGGCATATCATTGAAGTGCTAAGAATCTGCGAAAGCGGATGGAATGGAAGTGGACTCTCCAAACTGTCAACTGGGAGTCAATAATCTACTCCGATATTGTCACCCAGACGACAACCACGAGCACAGCACACTGAGTTTTGGAGTGGCTATCATGATGTCCCCAACAGCATCAAAGGCTCTCTCTCATACAGTGGGAACCAATCCCTTCCAGGATCATGACAGCAAGGTTCAACTCAAAAGGAAGGAAAGTCACAATCATACAATGCTATATGCCACCCATCTTCAAATAATGCAGATGAAGAGAAGAAAGAGGAATTCCACAGACAACTGTAATTAACACCGAACAAGACCTCAGTTGGCGACATCAAAATTCTAATGGGTGGGGAGACATGAATGCCAAACTGGGGTAGGACAACGCAGGAAGAGAACCAATCATGGGTAGAGAAGCACTCGGTGAAATGAACGAGAATGGAGAATTGTTGGCAGAATTCTGTACAATCAACGATTTGGTGATTGGAGGCGATGCAGTGTGTTCAAGCACAAGGATATTCACAAAGCAACATGGATTTTATTTCCCCAGATGGACACACTAAAAATCAGATCGACTTCACTTCAATCTCAAGAAAGTGGAGATGGAGACGCAGCCTACTGGACACAAGGTCAAGAAGAGGAGCAAATGTAGGTGGTTCATACCACTCACTATCTAGTGCAAGGAACCTACCTTCCAAATCAAGTTGAAAGCCTTCAAGGAAGCTGGTGATAGACCACAGTTCGAGTTCAACACCCAGAGACTGAAGGAAAAAACTACAAAAGAAATCTTCACGTCAACCATCAAGACAAAATGGGAGATATCGAGGAACATTCCTGAAGAAACCTGTGTGGAAAAGAACACTGGAAGTCTTTGAAAGAGATGTGGAAAGAAACCTGCACAGCCGTATTAGGAAGGAAGAAGAAAGAAGACAGGACAAGGAATGGATTTCAATGGATACATGGAAGCTGATAGAGGAGAGGAGGATGGTGAAGCAGAAGATAAACGAGTACAAGGATGTCCAACGACCAGAGGAACTGAGTACAATGTATAAAACACTACACTGGAGAAAGAAGTGAAGAAGAGTGCACGGAAAGACAAAAGACACTTCTACAAAACACTGGCAGGCAAGTGAAGCAGAACAGGCTGTTGGTAGGAGAGACAGACACCTGACAACATTGTATTAAATAACCAGGTTACTATCTGGTAGGGAAGAGATCAACACAGATGAAACCAATAAAGGGTGATGAAGGAAATATAATTAAGAAAGAAGAGAAACAAAGGAAACAGTGGGCCGACCACTTCAAGAAGCTCTTGAATTGACCACCACCATCTGCAACTCGTTCAGAAATACCATCTGCAGCCCAGCCACAGAATTACCAGTGAACATAAATCCTCCAACAAAAGTGGAAGTTCTGACCATCATAAAACTACAGAAATTCGGGAAGCAGTAGGACCAGATGGAATCCCACCAGAAGCACTGAGAACAGACTCAGAGACGACAGTGGACATGCTCACACTACCACTGCAGAAGGTGTGGAAGGAAGAGAAGGTACCTGGCGATTGATTGGAAGAAGGGTTACCTTGTCAAACTCCCGAAGAAGGGAGACCTCAGTGTTTGCAAGAACAACAACTGGCGTGGAATCATGTTCCTATCCACCCAATGCAAGCAAAATATTGAGCCACATCATTTTGGGGAGACAAAGGATGCACTGCACTCAAAACTACAACCAGAACAGGCTGGCTGGATTCAGGAAGTACAAATCATGTGCGCACCAAATTGCAGCACTACGCTACGCTACACATCATCATAGAACAGAGTGCAGAATGGCAGTCAACTCTCTACCTTATCTCAACTTCATCGACTTTGTAAAGGCCTTTGACAGCTTCGACCGACAAGTAGTTTGGCAGTTGCTTCAACATGACGGAGTATCACAAATCTTTATCAACCTCATTCAACAACTATATGAAGACTCCACATGTCAGCCAAGTAATTCACAATAGGAATCTCAGTGATGCTTTTGAAGTGAAGACAGGAGTAAAACAAGGCTGTCTACTATCACCAGTGATTTTCCTGATTGTGGTCGACTGGATCATGCAACAAACAGTGAGCAGCGAAAAGGGGATACGCTGGACTGAGGAAAGGATCCTAGAAGATTTGAATTTCGCCGACGATGATTTGTGTCTAATGTCACACAAACTTGAAGATCTACAGGCAAAATCCAACAAGTTTACAGAAAAGGCAGGGCAGCGAATACGGGACTTCAAGTGAATATAGAGAAGACAGAGGTGGAGGTGATGAAGATACCCAACTAACAACACCAACACCAACAACAACAACAACAAACTCCAATGACCATCAACGGGAGAAACTTAAAGGAAGTAACCTCTTTCATCTATCTAGACAGCATCGTTTCAACTACAGGTGGCGGCACAGATGAAGACGTCAAAGCCAGGATCGCAAAAGGAAGACAGGCGTTTATTTGCCTGAAATCAGTGTGGAGATCTTCTGCACTCAGCATAAAGCGTAAACAACATCCGGATTTTCAACAGTAACATCAAGTCAGTGCTTCCATATGGTTCAGAGACTTGTAGCGTTACGAAGAACATTTTCAACAAACTACAGATATTCATCAACAACTGCCTACGCTGGAATAGCCAGAAAGAATAAGCAACAAGGAACTCTGGCTGGCTGGTGACGAACCAACCAAGAAGTTATCGCTCAACAAATATGCACTGGAAGGAAGTGGAGATGGATGGGATTGGGCATACACTGAGAAGGCCGACTGGGGACATCACACGTCAGACCAGGCACTCGAGTGGAACCCCGATAGGAAGCGACGAGTTGGGTGTCCGAGGTGAGGGTGACATGGAGGAGATGGTGTGAGGAGGAAATAAGAGCTTGTGGGCTGTTGTGGAGCCAGGTTCAAAAGATTTCAGAGAAGAGAGTGGAATGGAGACGTGCTAGTGAAGCCCTATGTTCCATTAGGAACCCAAGGGACTAATAATAATAATATATGATAAGAATGAATGTTCAATATGAAACATACGGATGAAATTAGACAGCACTGGATTGATAGATCTTGAGAAATTAAATCTCATGAATTGTTAGGCTGGCTACCTAGTTAGTTGAATTAGTGACAGGTTTTCGCTTAGTGATCACTTTTCACATAGTTATTCCTTAAGACAGCTACAACGAGTGGCATCAACAAGGAATGTAATATAATGAATTTACTTCTGGAGGTTATACATCCGTTTTTTGATTTCATAGAGATCAGTCTTAGATAAAATTAGAGTCCAAAGATATCGCAGTCCTACCGATGAAGACACCCACGCAGTTTAGGGAACGTCATCCACATTCAAATTTTGCTTTAGGACTAGTTCTTATCGATAATCTGTTTGGTATAGAGTGAAGTATTTACATCCGATGACAATTCTATTCACCTTAGAAATTGCTTCGTACCTCTTGACATGTTAGAAACCAATGAAAGCTTAATATGAATAAGAAAAGTTAGTTTGACTTCTACAAACCAGCAAAAATCATACATCTGACTGCCGATTAGTGGTAGATTAGACAACACATTATTGCATTGTCTTCTTACATCTGCGGAAGACAGTCTCTAAACACGTGGAAGATGCAAGAAGACGACAAGTATTTGGCAACCTTTGACTTAACAGTGATGTAGAGAATGGGCTTAAAGTACTATGCATTTCAGGCTAATCAACCAAGGTTGTGAACTTCCATTGGATGAAATTGTTTTAAGAAGTTTAACATACGCCAGACCATCACCTACTAAAACCAAGATACGTTAGTAAGTCAATATATAAAAGCCAAAAAATGAGAGGATAAATAAAATAATTATTACGATAGAGGATTTTAATTAGGACAGATAATAAAGCAATGTTCACAAAAGTGGCTTAAATTGGAATATGGTTATCTTTTACGCAAATCTCTATATATATCCTTAATTGTTTAAGCGATAAATTTTAAAAGCTACTCGAACATTAATTCTATGACTAGTTATTGCTACATGTCTTGGTCATAGGTGAAGAGTTTTCGCCTACATCCTCTTATAAAGGTTTTAAATTCCAGTTGTTTTTGAAATCACTTTGATATATGTCGCTCACGCCGAACAGCATAATCCCATTACTTCTTTCTACTAACGTGTCTCTGCATATACATGTAAAGTGATCAACACAGTGGGATGCGATGCAATCGTTTATAGTGTTTAGGTTCGTTATGAAACACTAGTTTTGAAAATGGATGATAGACTACATAGTATAATTTACTGATGATAGAACAAAAAGCATTATTCAACCCCCCGGTATATCGTTGAGTGATATGAGCACTTTTCTCAGGAAATGAGCTTTGGAATCAGTTTTTACAACAGTATTAATTTCAATGGGTATCCATTTTCTGTAGTATAGGACTGAGAAGTGTGACCAGAACAAAACAGGGGAGTAACTAACGAAGTTTTTGATTGTTAGGTAAATTCAGTGGAAAACTGTACGACTCCCGGTTAGAGTTTACAAGACTACGAATTAAAAACTTAAGGGATATGGATCGAAATCGCTCAAACCCATGCAGTTACGTACATAAATTGTTTTATTCTCGATCCTCAACATAATATTCCTTACTTTCATCCCCCTTCGTCTTACCTTTTAGTTTGTTCAATCATTTGGAATAATACCGTTTTCATCTGTTTTTCAGATTTATTCCTCTTGATTATATTGATATGACTATGCACCCTTCCTCACTTTTTATATTTGTCTGATTTCAGTACCACGAGATGATCATGATCCCTCACCTCAGATATCATAATAAAATGTTGTAAATATGCACTTACTATTTAAATTGCTGACTTATAAGAAAATAAAGATCTATGCGTAAACGCCTACCTGAAATTGCCCCCACACCATAAACAGGTGATAAGATTCTGATTTAGATACCATGTTAGTGATGTAAATGGCGGTTGTCATATGACATATAGATAGATGCTGTGTCACTACTGTTCCATTCACTACCTTAGATATTACATAAACATTAATCTAGTTGGCTTAAATATTAAGCATGAAATAAACTAAATCCTGTCAAGATAATCATAAAAATTCAAATCTATAGTAATTAACATAATTTTCGATTTTCAAAAACGATGTCCTTTTTGAAAATATACGATGTAAAACTTTATGAACGAAAAAAGCGATAGGTAGAAATGAAAAATACATACGCTCGTTCATATGTTTGAAAAGCCTCCTTTTCGCGTAATTCTTTTTCTGGATCATTTCCAAGAGCGCGTTCTTCTCGATCCACTGAGAGAAGAAATGGAATCAAGAGTCATGCAGTGAGTAGTACAAATTTATAGAAATCAAGTGCCAAAAATATATCAAGTTGTAAACTCGATGAAAATTCAGTTCAAGTTGCCATTACATAACACAACACAAAAAAGTCATATATAAAAGAATCTCCACCACTGCGACCAACTTTGGATTTACCTGTACATTCAGTAAAGTCATGCGAAATCCTATGAGTTGAATGCTAATACAAGACATCACTGTGGTAATAATGTCTATCAAACTAGTAAATTATTTTAACGAAACAACTAGATGCAGACACAGATAAACTTACACATATATGTTTCCCCTCGAAAACGCATAACAAGACAAGCAGTCAAAACTCCAATAGCGATTATAACAAGGATGCCAATAATTACAGCAGTTATCCAGGAAATGTTGGCTGATGCTATGTAGAGAAAGAATATGAGTAAAATGCGTTGATCAGGTTAGAAAATAAATGAAACAAATACAGTAATTATTAGATAGTCGAAGGTGAGTTTTAGGATGAAACGGAGGTTAAGTATTAGAAGGATTTAAACTAACCAGGAGTGGAATCATGATCCACTTGAAGGTCCAAAGCTGCTGTCATAAGTGAATGGATCTTTACATCGTCATGAGAGTCATATACCTTCATATTTGGCCCCGAAAGTCTGGTATCTTGGTCTGCCATACGAGAAGTTACATATGGATAAAATATACGCCAGCGGCAAGTCACCTTCACTTTTCGAAACAATGCAGCCAGTGACGGATCATCCACGGGTGTAACTATCAACTAAATTATGAAAAAATCGAATTAGGTTGGTTTTGCACCTAAATAATAAGCAGTTTCATAAACATAGTGCCTTAAATACTTATCGAGCCTATCGAATTCCATTCACTTTTAACCGTAATGGTAAAAATTGCAAAGGTGCTATGTTTTTCTAAGGAAACCAGAAGTCCATAAAAAAATATAACTGTCTAGAGCAGCCTATACCTTACACATTACAACGAATAAATTGAAAGAGTGACAAAGAACGTCTTTACTAAAAAAGGAAGAATCTGGAATTAGGAAACTTCAAAATATGGGTAGGGACTGTGAAAGTGATGTTATTTCATTGATAAACAAACTACTTCAAGCACATTGGTTGGAGGTAAGAGGAATGTAAGGGGACAGACGGAAGTATGAAAATTCAAGTTATTTTGAATGAAAAATTAATAAAAGACAACTCAGCGAAGAAAGTTTCTTTTTCGACGAATGTCTTAGTTTTTCAACTTTCATCACCAATTAATGTAACATGAAATAAACGCCAGTACATTGACAACTGGATCAGAATAAAAAGATTTCATGTTAGTACTCTTACATAACAAGGAGTTCAGATGGCATGAAAACTGAAGCTGCAGAGACTGCACAAGTAAGATAACAGATAAAGAACCTACGTTTATTTTCTAAAAAATACCCTTGCATAGTTATTAGGCACTGTACAGATCACCTGGATTTCTCGTCTTACTACAAATCTTAACTAATAGACTATTATCAGTTTAAAAATAAAGTGCTGTACTGGTTACCATTTAGTGATCAATTAGTACTCAACACAGAAAGAGTAACCTTATAAAAAAGTGACATCAAAATAAATGAATTACCTTAGTTCCTTCTGTTTTAATAAATCTTGATTGCTGATAATCTTTTGTCATTTTCGACACAGCTATACCGTTTAACTCCCATGTTTGCACAATGTATGTAGACTGATATGGATCCGTATCAATAACACAATCGAATGTATGTGAATCGGTATTTAAGCAGTCAGTGGTACAGGAATAATCCTTCGGAGCCTTTAAGATGTTGATTCGAGCTAGAAGGCATGGATTTACAATAAATAAATACAATCAGGATGGCTAAAACTCCATTTGGATAAATATGAACTGTGAGTGAAAACTAATTCAACTAAAAAGATATAAAATGCAACAAGCATATTCAATCATAAATCGCTTTCATAATGCATAGTTAGGTGTCAGAAAAGTACATTATCCAGTACAAAAGTCGGATAAATACAAAAACTTCAACATTGCTTTATACTAACATTCCACTTTCCAATAACTTTTCTTATTTGTTTCTCGATTTGAGAACATCAAACTGGATAAACACATGCAGGTTTCAGATAGAGCCGGACAACGGTGTATCGATCATATTTTCACCCTCCCCGACAGGTTCGGAAACACAAGCATACCTACTAAGTCGGTGGCTGATACTTGCCATATTTGGTGACCTAAGGGCGGCATTCGACTCTGTCGCCCGTGAGATCTTGTGACAGTGTCTGACTGTTAGGGGGGTACCGAGCAAGTATACAACCCTAATCGAAGCTCTCTATTTGAACTCATGCAGTCGCGTAAGGGCTTACGAAGAGGTATCATATGAACTGACGACAACAAACGGTCCCCACTAAGGATGCCTACTGACACCGTTCCCGTTTAACTTCTTAATAGACGTACTAATGGACATAACCTAAGTTACCTCTGAATTCAGAGGGGTTAGTCTAACCCCTAGAGGGCATTTGGTTGACTGTAGGTATGCAGACGACAATATCCTGCTAGGTGAAGACGCTAGCAAAATTCAGGGTCTGATGAACGAGTTGAGCAGAAATCTGGGTATGTTTGGCATGGATTTCACAGCTGTCAAATGTAACAGGATGCTCTCTAGGACTTGTTTGCTGCAAGTACTCCCAATTTAGTGATAGAGAATGTCGACCATTTCACTTACTTGGGGAGTTGCATCAGCTCGAACGGGCTAGTTCCTGACGAAATCTCAGCTCGGATAGAGAAGTCTCGTTTAACATTTGTCAACTTGCGTCATTTGTGGCGCCAGTGAGATATGCGACTATCCATCAAAAGACGAGTATATTGCGCTTCAGTCTCTTCTGTCCTGTTGTACGGCTGTGAGACATGGCCGTTAAACGTAGAAGACACGAAGGGGTTGCAGACTTTTGACCATAGGTTTCTGAGTATCACTGCACACGTACATCGGAGTCACCATGTCAACAATGTAGACGTTAGGTGAAACATACTATCCAGGGGAAAAAAATCGGTCGACGAGATTGTGAACCTTCAGCGACTGGGGTAGCTCGGACATGTGTTGTGCATGTTGAGTAACCGCCTACCTCGACGTGTGATGCTAACAAAAGTTGGAGTAGGTTGGAAGAGTATTCAGAGTAGTCACACGAAGACACAGCGTCAGTCCATGAAATCTCTGACTGTCGGTCTGAGCTGTGTAGATTATTTACTTGACACCATCACCCATGAAGACAAAAGGAGTCAGTAGTCGCAGATTCCTGGTAGTATGGTTCCAAACTGATCACAATGGCGTAGATGAATACACTTTTTGTCATCTTGCTTTATCTGATGTTACGTTTAGTCCTACACCAAAAATATGGTGGCGACATGTGGTTGACACATTTACTGTGTCGAAACCGGAACATATCGACAATTTCCTCATGCATGTAAACTCAGTAGTAGGTGCAATTCAATTAACTTACGAGGTAGAAAATGAACAAAGAGAATTACTTATGTTGGATTGCAGAATAAAACGAAGGACAGACGGTGGTTTGGATACTACTGTCTACAGAAAACCAACACTTTTTGTCATCTTCGAAATTTTGAGTTTTTTTTCAACCTTCATCCTTTTGTCTTCTTTCCTTCTATACGATTTTCTCCATCTTAACATCACTTTCCATTGTCTTGCTTTTTGCGCACAATTATGAATTGTGGTAGATGCACTTCTCCACTGTTGACTTGTCTTTCATAAACACAGTAGACAGTTTGCTATCAAAAGTTAGCAGTAGGTGACAGCACCATTTTTTCCTCGGATGCCTAGTTCTTTCGAAATATTTTTTGGACAACAGTTAATGTTCACAACTTTATAAACGCGATTGACAGATACCTTCTCCGTTTCGATAATTTGTTCAGTAAAGCTATTGGTGAACGTAGTTTCAACAAACCGACCAAGCAAAGGACTAGTAATCTGTTGAGTCTCAAAAAATCGAGAGGCGTGAGGTACACAAGTCGATGTGAAGCTTAGGTAATACTGTTAGGCATAGCAAAACTCAGTTTCGGTAGAGCATTTCATGGATTTCATCAATGACGCTAGTATAAACCAGTATATTAGACGGAGAGTGGCAATAGCTTAGAAACGACACTGAAGTTAAGTTCAAGCAAAATTTTCCAATAAGCAGTAAGTTTAAACCATTGATATTAATTTTAAATACTTTTTATGAATAGAAGCAAGAGGAATGTCATTTTCAGAATATTTCATTTACAAATATAAAAACTAGCAACAATCCCTTACGAAGTACTCTGACAACAGTAGACACACGAGCAAGACCATACTCATTTCTCCCAACCAAGCTGACAGTATGAGTTGGCCCAATCTTACTGCCAGGTGTGAAGAATAAATTATAAGCCGAATACGTAAGAATATGACCATTCTTCTGTAATGGCTGGATTAAAGCATCTTTCAAATAGGGATACTGATCTCTTAGCTCAGTACGGAAGTTTTCAGGATTTGGTTGGTATGACAGACCGTTTATCTCCAAAGTCTGGAAACAACATAAAAATTACAATAGAAATGAATTTCATCAATGAAGAACAATGATCATACTCGTAAAACGGATTGTTACCAATCAGCAGAAGGAACCTAAAAATATTCAGCAAGTTAAACTGGTAACTAATAAAATCAAAGGCAATACAAAGACTGACTGTTTACAATTCAATAACTGAGTTGTATGGTACATCCAGTTAACCATACTAAGTAACGTAGATAGAGTCAGTCAGAACAAGTGATTAAAAGTCAAATGCATAAACTGCACAGCTTTTAAATGAAGGCAGGACTAATACTTAACTGAAATCTTAATAATTTACTTAAAGTTTAAAAGGAAAGAAGTCAACCGGACGAAAACGAAAAAACGAGTGGAACGCACTCAGACACACTGTGCATATCCGTGCAGTAGGCAATGAGCCACACCTGTTGTACGAGGCCTAGTGATACTACTTGTCTGCCCAAACCTTAGTAGGTGGAGTGGGGCTCGAACCTGTGATCCAATGGTTGATAACCATCTCCCTAAACCACCGAGCCACAGCTCTACAAAATACATGGGTTATATGATTTTTAAAGATGCTTTTAAAAGCCATATATGAATGCATAGAACCTTTACACAGAGGAGTGTTAAGCTGCTAAAGGCTGAGCGATTTCCCCTGGATTCAGCCAGATGTTCACAAATGAATTTGACTGATAAGTGGTTTTTCTGGTTGAAACTAGTAACACAAATGTACTGCTAAGCAAAATAGATTTTGTCATAAAGGTGAGGTATCAACACTGCAATCTATGACATTTACGAACAATTTGCAGAAAATAAGTTACATGAGATAAAAACTGCTGAATCTTTCAACTTCGGAGTTATTTCCATTAGTCGCAAATAGCACTTTTATGACCAACTCTATATTTACAATTAGTTGTTAACAGTTAGGGTTATATCAGATAAGCAATATGCAGCTCTTATCACGCCTATATTACTAAAACTCTCAAGTGACCGAAATCTTTGAGAGTTATATCCATTCTTAAGTTTGAATATCGAGTTTTGAAAAGTGTCGACATCCAAGATATAGCAATATCAGTGGTTAGATGGCCCAAATGACATGACATAAGATTGATGGAGTAAAATGGGCCACTACTTATTCACCTTTGTATCTTAAACATGTTATTACAATTATAACCATCTGTTCACCATATTCCTATTATTTTTATTGTCAATGCGTGCTTTTCAACAGACCGCTGAGAAGCGTAACAGTTTGAATGTATTTACTTACGTACGAGATTTGATGTTTGTTTATACTACTACCTATCCAACATTCGATTTACTTGTTGATATATCCGATGTACTATCTGATTTCAGTAGCAACAATGTAACAAACATTGACATCTGGAGGCCTACAAATAGACATTACCGTTGCTTGTGAATGGCAGCCTATATCATCTGTCTTTTTTAAACAATGAACACGGTATTAGAAACTTCCAAACACAAGCTTTTCGCTAAAATAAAAATAAGTTGTAGGGAAGCGAAAAATGAAGAAAATGAAACGTAAAAGTCCAAGTTGGCAACTAGTTTGAAGTACAAATTTCCAATAAAATTTAAATTAAGGGACAATGTAAAATACTGTTGAGACTATGGATTACAAAGCAACCTATTTTTGTTATGAATGAGTAAAGATAAATGGCGATGCCACAGACTGTACATCTGTTAACAAACACATTAACTAAATTACAAGGTATAACATCAAAATATATCATTCTCACACAAGGAGCGGTTATCATGGTTTAATAGCCTAGTGGGTAAGGATACTGCCTGAGAATTGATGAGTGCTGGGTTTGAGTATCAACAGGAACACTATCACTTACTGGGATGCAGGTACATCGAGCTGACAAGTCTCCAATACAACAAAATGTGCGTCCTAAATTACAACATAAATTGGAGACCTGGTTTGGTCAGTAGTCATATGCGATTATTCTCTTGCACTTGGTTAATTCTCCTATCTCTCCAGTACCATTTTCCCAAATAGTTCTACTCCTAGACCATTTGTGCTATATTAATTATTAGTAATTGGCTTATCACAATACAATACTTAATACTTTGCATTCGAGATGCTGTTGAAAGCAGTATGAGCTGAAGTAGGAAATTTACAATAGCTGTTCGCCATATACCCTTATTTCCAGTTTGATAAAGGTTTGACATTTTTCATATGTACATGACAGGAATACTTCACACAGATGTTAAACAATGTCAAGAAAAAGTTCTAACATATGACAAGAAAAAACGTGTATTTTAAGTGCGTCAAAAAAAACACTTCCACTGCTAAGAAATCTACCTCTGTTTTAAACGAATCCAATTGGCAACTGAATGTTACATTTTGTCCTTCCATGACTAAAAGTAGTGGCGGAGGAGCACGTATTACTTCAGGTGGACCAACTACACTAACTATAAATTGGAAATTGACTTGTTCATTGCCACTTTCCACAAGTAAATTATAAGTTCCTGAGAAAGAAAAGAAATGAACCGAGAGACAAAAAATTTAAACAACGTTTAAAAATTAAGTAACCTTGCAAATCAGCTTATGGGAAAAAACATACCGGTCAAGTAGCAGGCTTCAGCTCAAAAATAAATCGATAAGAAATAAACGGGGGCATGTTTACTAGATCGATGGGTAGGAATGAGGACAGAGGAATTGACTAAAACTTAAGGGACAAACCTAACCATATGTAAAAACCTAATACTGATACATAGAACTAAATACAAATATCAAACTTGGTTACCACTACCCCCCCTTTTTTTCTATAAATCTTAATGAGTGAAATATGGACAAACATACAAGTGTGAATATGGAAATGAAAATAATGAAAAACCAAGCTGAAGAGAGATACATAGATACAAAAGCCAAAATATATGAAAACACGTAATGAATAGATACATAAGAGTTCGATCGATGAGATACTGAGAACATTAGCCAACTAAAAGGAAACGGAGAAGACGGAAATCCGGTTGGATATAGCTAAAATCGATATAAATAAAATAAATGGTTTACTGCACCTATACAAATGAACATTCACACCGAAATTGGGAATTGATCCATAAAGTAGTAAATAGGATGAATTCATAAAACTGACCGAGAAGTGAAAATTCTGTTTTCTTCATGCGATCTAATGCATCATATGAGTTGATGTCGCTTTTATCCTAGTGAATAAACGTGTACCGCCTACACAAGTTAAACACTTTAAACAGAATCCTCTGAATTTCAAATAGAATTTAGTTTGACAAAACTAGCACAACGAAACCTTATGAACTTCTTCAATCAGTTGAAACTCATAAAGTTTACAGGAAGAGGTGTAAAGGGAAACTTACACAAGGATTACGAAAAGCAATTACAAAATATTAAGCAGCAATTTGTTTTCCATTAGTACTATACATAACAATAATTGTCATAATAATCGCTTTATTCCAGACAACAACATATGTGATACGGTGCGAAATTCTCAGCATTTAATATTCCATCAAACTCATTCCCTGTAGAATATTCTTCAACGAAATAATTATTGTACATTAGCTTCCGGTCTGGACTGGTAGGCGAAAAGAAAATAGAGCGAAATCTCGATGTTGGTAGGTTATTCAGCCAGTACAAACATTTGCAGTTGGACATAAGTACCCTAGTAACAGCAATATCCTGCATTCTCGTGCATTTCTAATTCTGATGGTGATATGATCTCTGAGCTAGGTTGTTCAGTCGTGTCTACTATAGAAACGTGGGATAGTAGGTCTATTGGATTTTATTCTCCATTGCCCTTGTTTTGTAATTTATCCCGCTTTGATGAGTTTGTTCAAGGTCTTGGTGATTTGGTGATCAAACTTTCGAATGGGATTTATCTCCATTGGTTGATATACATTTCGGTTCATAAGTCAGTCTTCTGCCCTTTTGATGCAGTCGTATTTATCCATGACTACTGTGATACGCCCTTTGTCAGCTGGAATTATAACGACGTTCTTTTAATTCTTCAGTTTCCTAAGAGCTCTGCGTTTTTCGGTAGTTAGTTGAGTGCAGGTTTGCTTCCGCCTGGTCAAAAGTACAATTACTTGTCGTATTTCTTGTTGGGTTTTAGAGTTTACTCCTGAAGTCTTCAGTGATGACTCTAAGAATGCGAATAATTCCGACCCTGGAGCGCCTCCCGTACTGTGATTTAATTCTTTCTGAAGGAGAAGTTCCTCGGATTTAGTCAGGGGTTATTTGGACAAGTTGACCACGTAGTTATTTGCTTCTTTCTCTTCTGATGCTCGCGGCTTTGAAGTCTTGGCAAGCTTCTCTCGAAGGGTGTTTCTTCTATGTTCTTTGCGTCGTCCGCTTGATTTTTCAACCACAGTTGCCAACGACTAAACAATCCAGCTCACAGGACACAATATCATCAGAATTATTCTCCTGCGCTACAAATATTCTCTATCATCTCAAAATCCTACGAGTGTATTTCTAAATCCATCTCCTACCAGTTTAGTGTTTTTCCCTCGTCTTGTTGTTGGCCTGACGAACTGCAGTTTGAAAATATTTTAAAAACGTGCGGGAGTACAAGACACGTTTAAGAGACAATTCGATTTCCAAAAACTGAAAGGGGAGAATTCGATAAGATATATTCGGTGAAAATTTCTTGGTAACCCAATCTTTAAGCAGGCCTGCAGTGAAGGGGATAGGGCCATATTTTTCATATTAAAGTGTACAGTTAACATGAACTATGTGTCTACCTTTTGCATTACAAAGCATGAAGCATAAGGCGATGCGAGCATTGATAGGTTAGTGACGCTGATGAAACAAAACTATTGTCACTCCATATCTCTTGATAGGTCAAGAGGGGAAGACAAATTAACTACAGAAGCGCTAAATTTCACCTTGACAGAGTTCAATAACTGTAGTTGAGTCAACTATTCAATAACAAAAGATGAGTAAAGGCATAGGGAACATTACTAATTTTCAGTGTTCAAGCCACTTAGTTTAATGGACAAAATCAATTTTTGAAAAGTACTAATGAGCGGAATAGAAAGATGACATTTTTAGTCGACAGTTTTAGGATGCAGAAGTTTACCGTTATTTAAGGCTTAGCTTAACAGAAATAGAAAACAACCCGTGACAAAAACAAGTTGTATTTCTTACAATTAGTAACCATAATGAGAAATCTATAAGAAGAGGTGATAAGGAATACTCAACTTAGAGAACACAAAAGTGAAACTGAGAACATAATATCTAAGCAGTTCTCCAGAGGGTAAAATAATGATATTTAGAAGCCCAATAACCAGAGCTGCATAATTTTTTTAAAAATATGGTCTGAAGACCGAGAAAACAGTAGTGAAGCAAGGGTTCTTGTGTCTAGGTAGTCAACTTTCAGACAGTGGATAGTGGGTTCCAGCCATGCTTTATTTATCGAGGTTTGCGTAGTCAGGTAACAACACTAGGTTTCACACAGGTGCAGCTTAGTGATAGTGTATCTGATTCGACGACGCGGGTTCCAATCTCACGCGTGCCAACAAGCAGGAAACCTAGGTTCAGAGCTTCTTGCTGATTGTCTCCAACTATCCAACATTAGTTAGATTTCACTACAAACAAAGTCATCACTAGTGCTCCATTTAAATGTAGGTATTTCACCAACAGGAAGATTAGGTAGCAGAGATAAGACTTCGACGATTGTTCAGGACAAAAATGTGTGATTGCAGAAATATTTATGGTGCAGCACATCACTCTACCAAGAGAAACGGAGTTGTGAATTGCCCATATCGACTAACCAAACAACAGTCAAGAACAACAGAATAAGAAATCCACGCGACAAAAAAGCAATAGTCAAAGGTTAGTTCAGTGATACTTAAACCAAAAAACTGAGCCAATGTATAATCAACAGCCAGTCCGACCAAAAATCCCAAGCAACAGGAAAAAATGTAAACTGTATTATCTAGTGAAACGACGTTATCTATTAAGGCTATCTAAGTCATTGGTTTATGCACTCAATTCTTAACCATTTATATTATTATTATTATTTGTCCCTTGGGTTCCTAATGAAACATAGGGCTTCACTAGCACGTCTCCATTCCACTCTCTTCTCTGAAATCTTTTGAACCTGGCTCCACAACAGCCCACAAGCTCTTATTTCCTCCTCACACCATCTCCTCCATGTCACCCTCACCTCGGACACCCAACTCGTCGCTTCCTATCGGGGTTCCACTCGAGTGCCTGGTCTGACGTGTGATGTCCCCAGTCGGCCTTCTCAGTGTATGCCCAATCCCATCCATCTCCACTTCCTTCCAGTGCATATTTGTTGAGCGATAACTTCTTGGTTGATTCGTCACCAGCCAGCCAGAGTTCCTTGTTGCTTATTCTTTCTGGCTATCCCAGCGTAGGCAGTTGTTGATGAATGTCTGTAGTTTGTTGAAAATGCTCTTCGTAACGCTACAAGTCTCTGAACCATATGGAAGCACTGACTTGATGTTACTGTTGAAAATCCGGATGTTGTTTACGCTTTATGCTGAGTGCAGAAGATCTCCACACTGATTTCAGGCAAATAAACGCCTGTCTTCCTTTTGCGATCCTGGCTTTGACGTCTTCATCTGTGCCGCCACCTGTAGTTGAAACGATGCTGTCTAGATAGATGAAAGAGGTTACTTCCTTTAAGTTTCTCCCGTTGATGGTCATTGGAGTTTGTTGTTGTTGTTGTTGGTGTTGGTGTTGTTGGTTGGGTATCTTCATCACCTCCACCTCTGTCTTCTCTATATTCACTTGAAGTCCCGTATTCGCTGCCCTGCCTTTTCTGTAAACTTGTTGGATTTTGCCTGTAGATCTTCAAGTTTGTGTGACATTAGACACAAATCATCGTCGGCGAAATTCAAATCTTCTAGGATCCTTTCCTCAGTCCAGCGTATCCCCTTTTCGCTGCTCACTGTTTGTTGCATGATCCAGTCGACCACAATCAGGAAAATCACTGGTGATAGTAGACAGCCTTGTTTTACTCCTGTCTTCACTTCAAAAGCATCACTGAGATTCCTATTGTGAATTACTTGGCTGACATGTGGAGTCTTCATATAGTTGTTGAATGAGGTTGATAAAGATTTGTGATACTCCGTCGTGTTGAAGCAACTGCCAAACTACTTGTCGGTCGAAGCCGACAAAGGCCTTTACAAAGTCGATGAAGTTGAGATAAGGTAGAGAGTTGACTGCCATTCTGCACTCTGTTCTATGATGATGTGTAGCGTAGCGTAGTGCTGCAATTTGGTGCGCACATGATTTGTACTTCCTGAATCCAGCCAGCCTGTTCTGGTTATAGTTTTGAGTGCAGTGCATCCTTTAGTCTCCCCAAAATGATGTGGCTCAATATTTTGCTTGCATTGGGTGGATAGGAACATGATTCCACGCCAGTTGTTGTTCTTGCAAACACTGAGGTCTCCCTTCTTCGGGAGTTTGACAAGGTAACCCTTCTTCCAATCAATCGCCAGGTACCTTCTCTTCCTTCCACACCTTCTGCAGTGGTGGTGTGAGCATGTCCACTGTCGTCTCTGAGTCTGTTCTCAGTGCTTCTGGTGGGATTTCATCTGGTCCTACTGCTTTCCCGCATTTCTGTAGTTTTATGGTGCTCAGAACTTCCACTTTTGTTGGAGGATTTATGTTCACTGGTAATTCTGTGGCTGGGCTGCAGGTGGTATTTCTGAACGAGTTGCAGATGGTGGTGGTCAATTCAAGAGCTTCTTGAAGTGGTCGGCCCACTGTTTCCTTGTTTCTCTTCTTTCTTAATTATATTTCCTTCATCACCCTTTACTGGTTTCATCTGTGTTGATCTCTTCCCTACCAGATAGTAACCTGGTTATTTGATACAATGTTGTCAGGTGTCTGTCTCTCCTACCAACAGCCTGTTCTGCTTCACTTGCCTGCCAGTGTTTCGTAGAAGTGTCTTTTGTCTTTCCGTGCACTCTTCTTCACTTCTTTGTCCAGTGTAGTGTTTTATACATTGTACTCAGTTCCTCTGGTCGTTGGACATCCTTGTACTCGTTTATCTTCTGCTTCACCATCCTCCTCTCCTCTATCAGCTTCCATGTATCCATTGAGATCCATTCCTTGTCCTGTCTTCTTTCTTCTTCCTTCCTAATACGGCTGTGCAGGTTTCTTTCCACATCTCTTTCAAAGACTTCCAGTGTTCTTTTCCACACAGGTTTCTTCAGGAATGTTCCTCGATATCTCCCATTTTGTCTTGATGGTTGACGTGAAGATTTCTTTTGTAGTTTTTTCCTTCAGTCTCTGGGTGTTGAACTCGAACTGTGGTCTATCACCAGCTTCCTTGAAGGCTTTCAACTTGATTTGGAAGGTAGGTTCCTTGCACTAGATAGTGAGTGGTATGAACCACCTACATTTGCTCCTCTTCTTGACCTTGTGTCCAGTAGGCTGCGTCTCCATCTCCACTTTCTTGAGATTGAAGTGAAGTCGATCTGATTTTTAGTGTGTCCATCTGGGGAAATAAAATCCATGTTGCTTTGTGAATATCCTTGTGCTTGAACACACTGCATCGCCTCCAATCACCAAATCGTTGAATGCACAGAATTCTGCCAACAATTCTCCATTCTCGTTCATTTCACCGAGTGCTTCTCTACCCATGATTGGTTCTCTTCCTGCGTTGTCCTACCCCAGTTTGGCATTCATGTCTCCCCACCCATTAGAATTTTGATGTCGCCAACTGAGGTCTTGTCCGGTGTTAATTACAGTTGTCTGTGGAATTCCTCCTTCTTCTCTTCATCTGCATTATTTGAAGGTGAGTGGCGTATAGCATTGTATGATTGTGACTTTCCTTCCTTTTGAGTTGAACCTTGCTGTCATGATCCTGGAAGGGATTGGTTCCCACTGTATGAGAGAGAGCCTTCGATGCTGTTGGGGACATCATGATAGCCACTCCAAAACTCAGTGTGCTGTGCTCGTGGTTGTCGTCTGGGTGACAATATCGGAGTAGATTATTGACTCCCAGTTGACAGTTTGGAGAGTCCACTTCCATTCCATCCGCTTTCGCAGATTCTTAGCACTTCAATGATATGCCTTCTCATCTCGTTTGCAATCTGGGTTGCCTTGTTAGGTTCAAACATAGTGGGGACATTCCATATCCCCATCCTTACTTTCGCTTGCATTGAGAGAAGAGAACACACATCGGCCAACTGGCTTCCCGAAGGCTTTCATCAACCGGCGTCATTTCGTTTCTCCGATTCCAGCGAGGAATAAGTTTGTTTTTATGTTTTATATTTTGTCTGTGCTTTGAAGTTTCTTTGGCGACTGGATTGGTTTTCCGGGGTAGGGTAGCTAGCCCAATGGCCAACCTTCCCTCTCTACCCGAGCTTAGGACCGGCTAGTAACTAGTGAACTAGTTAACCCTAGCATTAAGTAATCAAATCCATTCTACTCCCATCAGTTTGACAGGTGATATTAACCTGTATGCATGTGTACACCGAAGTTTCATTTGGTAGGAGATAATTGATAACGCAGCGCTCTATTACAACCCCTTGACCAATAAGAATCACAATGAACATAATCTTATTCCAAAGAAATTAAAAAGATCGACTAGGGGAGAAAAAAATTGTAATAGACAACTACAGCAAAATGGGTAACATACCAGAGTGATTTCGGTTAACATGATCAGGAAATTTCAACAGATAATCATTGTGTCCAGGGAAATCAGACGGGATACGTCTGCCATCCTTAGTCCATTTCACAGATGTAACTTCTGGACTGGATCGATATTTAGTTGCCAGCTTGAGACCAGTACGCTAAAAATAAAACAAAAATATCTAGCAATAATTTTTTCTTCCAGATTCAAAACAGAAATTTTCCAAAAATAATAAGTTATCCAATTTCTTAAAATCCCGAGCGAAATAAAGAAATTACCAGACTGTTAACTTGCCATTGAAAAATTTGCTAATCAACATCCAACTGCACACACCATTTTCATTCATATATTTATTACCAAAACACCCTTGACGAAGTGGTCCCCGAAAAAAGCCGTAAAAAAACCATCAGGAGTAAAAGTACCGAAATTGAAAATATTAGGACCGGAAGTCCATTTACAATTCCGTACACAACATCAACAACCACACAAAAGATAACAGTGTCCACCTTCGACCAGAAGATTTGAACAAAAAATACCTACATAGATAGGAGTCAGCTAAGCACTTATTTGAACGTGACAGCAGTGCTTATTCTAAGGAAACTTGGCGTGACTTCAAGTCTGCTATAGGAACAGCGGTAAAGACAATTGGTAACCTACACCCAAAAGTTAGCAAACGTTATTGGATTCCCCAAACGTCATCCGAAATGAATGATACGAGAAGACTGATTCCAACTGACTTTGAACACACTAAAGAGCGAAAGCAACTTAAACGTAAGTTGACCAAGAGTCTTCGCAATGATGGCGAGAAGTGGTGGGTGGTGAGAGCAGGAAATATGCATAAGGCATTAACGTTGGGTAAAACCCAGCAACTAATTAGGCTTATTAAGGATACCGGCAAGAAGACGACGGTTAGTGAAACCACCACCGAAAAGGATGAGACGCTGATAACCTCCCAGAACTGGCGGCTAGAACGTTGGGCAGAACACCTCGAGGTACAGTTCAACTGAGTCTCAGCAACGCTTCAGTCACTCAACATCCACCCACCCCGAACCTGAATGGAACATAGATGTCTGTCCTCCAACTCTCCTTGAAGTTGAGAAAGCTGTCTCGAACCTGAAACGATGCAAAGCAACAAGACATAACAGTTTGCCACCCAAGGTTTACAAGGATGGAGGTAGGAAATTGCTGATTGGATAGATTGAGATACTGTGTAGTGTATGGGAGTCAGAGACAGTGCCGTCAGGTTGGTGTACTTCACTGATCATCCCCAGTCTACAACAAAGGGGAGAAATCTTGTGACAACCATAGGGGAACTAGTCTCCTGGTGTTCAAACGCTTGTTCTTATATTAACACAAGAAAATTAGTTTGACTAGTATTGTGTCCGAAATCCTAGGATCCATAGTTATCCGATGCCTAACTGGAGCTCGAGAACAACAAACTGGATAAACACATGCAGGTTTCAGACAGAGCCGGACAACGGTGTATCGATCATATTTTCACCCTCCCCGACAGGTTCGGAAACACAAGCATACCTACTAAGTCGGTGGCTGATACTTGCCATATTTGGTGACCTAAGAGCGGCATTCGACTCTGTCGCCCGTGAGATCTTGTGACAGTGTCTGACTGTTAGGGGGGTACCGAGCAAGTATACAACCCTAATCGAAGCTCTCTATTTGAACTCATGCAGTCGCGTGAGGGCTTACGTAGAGGTATCATATGAATTGACGACAACTAGTATTGTCTGCCAGAGATGCCCACTGTCATCGTTCCTATTTGACTTCGTCATATATGTACTAATGGACATGATCTTAGGTACGTCTGACTTCATGGGGATTGATCTATTCTCTGGAGGTTACCTGGTTGACTTCGGGTATGTGGACGATATTGTTCTGTTGCGTGAAGACGTTGACAAAATCCAGGGTCTTTTGAACACGTTGAGCCGAAACCTGAAAATGTTTGGCATGTGTTTCGCTGACACCTGTCAAATGCAAGATGACTTTTCAGGACTGATGTGCACCTACTACGAAATTAAGGACACCAAGTGAAGTGGTGGAATATGTCGAGTAATCCACTTACTTGGGGAGTTGCATCAGCCCCAACGGGTTGGTTGCTGACGAAATCTCAGCTCAGATAGACCAGTCTCGTTTCACATTTGCCAGTTTGCGTCATCTGTGCTGTCAACTGGTGAGATATCCGACTATCTATCAAAGGCCGAGTATACTGCCCTACAGTCCGTTCTGTCCTGTTATAAGGCTGAGATAGCCGTTAAAACCTGAAAACACAAAACGGTTACAGGTTTTTGATCACAGATGTCTTCATAGTATTGCTCGCGTTTAGTGCAATCATCGTGTGAGCAATGTTGAGGTCGGGCGAAGGGTACTAGGCAAGATAGGCAAGTCGGTTGATGAGGTTGTCAACTGAGATGGCTTGGACATGTACTGTGCACACCGAGCCACCACCACCTATCTTGATGTGCAATTCTGGGGGATGTTGGGTTAGGTTGGAAGACGGTCCAAGGTGGGTCGGACCAAAACCTGGCACCAGTCGAGGAAGTCCCTGATTCTTGACCTGAGCCTGTGTTGGGAGATGTAGACTACCTGACTGGGGTCCTTGAAACGATAAGAATTAGTGGTTGAGGTCTCTTGGTGACAGCTGAAAATCGGTCACAGTGGCTCAGATGTATCCATGTTTTGACTTCTAAAGTTCGAATATTTGCGCCAACTTTCATCTTCAAATTGTTTATTCTCTTACACAACTTTGTCCACTTTTCCTATCCATTTGTTTTTTGTGTGCTACTGTGAAGTGTGGTAACTTGACCCAATGCACTTGTGTGTGAGGTTCTACGTTGATTGTTCTGTCTGTGCATACCGACTAGACACCTTGGCCTTAGGCAAAAATAAGTAGTACTTAAATGAACTGGCAATAATACAACATTAATGTAAGTTCTTACTACCCAGTGATACACACACTCGAACCTAAATGGTAGGTTCACAGGTGCAAATCAGCTCCAGCAACTTCAGTCTGAACGGACAGCTATCGTTTCAACCTCTTATAACATGGGTTATGCAAATCATGTATATGAACCCATGCATGATTACGAGGTTTATTTAACGAATTCCGAATAACTTTCGGGTGTAAGAAAAAATTATTTAAAATACGAAGTACAAAACAAGAGCGTAAACTAGTGTGGAAAGCTGAGGAGGGAGAGAGTTAGTGAACATGAAGGTTCAAGGAGCATTCAAAGGACCGAATAACCTGACTGAACAATGATTTTGTTACACATCAAATGCCCAACGGTGTTTATGGATTATCTGGAATTGTCAGAATACGTCCTAGGTACATCCTAAACGTACAGGACAAAAAAGAAACTTCAAATTTTAATCGAGTTCGTTGATAGTACAGGCTTTGACCCCTCACTAGAAATTTGAGAAATTTATGTGCAAGCAGGCCATTAACCAGTACTGGATAGTAATTCTGCACGTGGTTTGCAATGAGTTGTTGATTTGAAAGCAGCTGCTAACGGACAGACACTAGTTGAAGAACTATTGAAAACTTGAGAGGAACGTACAGCTGTTTCCACCTGGTTTGGGACTTTCCGTCAGTGTGCACTAACGACCTGCTTCAAGATGAACTTCCTAAAGTTTTAATAAGGAGTCATGATTTATGAAGTCAGCTTAGTCGGGAATTAGGTGAAAAGCCAAACAGATACACATAATCAACGTGGAACCTTGAACAGAAGTGCATCAGTTCAATCTGCCATATTTCATAACAGCATTTTACATCAGCAAGAGACTAAAAAAGTGATATCATTTATTAAAAAAAAGTCCATAAGATAAGAAAATTCTAAAAATGATGAAATTTTTTTAGATGTCAAAGAGTGAGTCCGTCTGTATCATTGTTACCAATTTTCAGCCATTTACCGAGGATCTTAAAACTACTCGATGCACTAAGAATGTAAACTATTTCGCAGGTACCTGCAAGACTAAACTTTTTAGGCTAGAAAGCCACGACTGATGACAATACGCAAAAACCAACGACCTTAGAGAGTTGTAGTTCAGTTCAAACTACTACAATTTTCATTAGTATACTGAGAGAGAAATCCAATAAAACACCGGGACATTAAGAGGAGTTGGAAAACGTAAGAAAGTGAACGGCTTGGTGTAATACAGTTAGATTCTTTAAAGTTTATGGGGAGAAAATTAGATAAACATCTCATTCTAATTAACCTTCCGTAATGTTATCCAAGATGTCCAACCAGCGATCTTGATGAACACTTACCATGAAGCCCTGTATTTTTCTGCATTTCACGTGCACAAGACATGCATGGTCATGCTCACGAAGTTACTGAATAACTTGCCCACTATATACAAAACCTCATCAGTAGCTTTACATTAACCAAACGCTAGTGAAACAGGATTATCCAAAAGCGACCAATTCAAGTCGTTCAGTTTGTTCTACAGTTGAACCCATATCCATACATGGCTTCTGATTCAGCTGGTTAGAAAATCTAACAATCCTTTATAAAGACTCAACCGTTACGTCTCTGATTTTGGGACTGAACGACACAGTTTAAAATCTTGAAAGAAATGGGAGATGGCAGACATATCTCATTTACCGGTGCTAATAAATATGAAAACTACACCCAATTTCAACTCCTACTTTTAGATCATTTACATAGAATGCATGGTATTGTCAAACAGACAGATGTATATCATTGTAGGACATGGCAGTAAAATGCTTCGTTTAGAGTTACCACATTTCACACAAGTGTACAGAGAGCAAAATAATAGAAAGCGATGTAACGGTGGATAAAATGGCATAAAAGGAAAGAGAATAAAAGAGATGAAGGTTGAAAAAAAGACTAAAAATTCCGAAGACAACAAAAGAGTACGCATCTGCATCACTGTGACTAATTTCGAACCATGTTACTAAGAATCTCTAACAACTGACTCCCGTTGTCTTCGGGAGTAGGAGGCGGCAGACAGACAGTCTAAACCTCTTCACAGCTCAGACCGACAGCAGCAGACTTCATGGACTCGTACTGTGTCTTAGTCTGACCACACTGAGCACTTCCAACCTACTCCAATTTTTGTCAGCATCGCACGTTGAGGTAGGCAGTGGCTCGGTATGCGCAGTACATGTTCAAGCCACCTCAGGTAGTGTAGGTCCTCGAACTGGTCGAATGACTTTCCTGTCTAGCTCTTTATTTCACTTCAACATCGCTTACATGATGACCCTACCACACACGGACAATGCCACAGATGCCGGCGATGAAAAACCTGTCACCTCTTCATATATTTTCTTAAACAGTCATGAGTCAGATGTAGCGAACTGCTTCACAGTATACCATTCATTTGATAGATGGTTGGATATCTTAGCAGTGCTAGAGATCATGTAAGTTGGCAAATGTTAAACAGTCTTTTCGCATTCAAGCCGAAATTTCCCCAGCCTTCACATGGCCGTGTAAGATTTAGTGCAGAGTTGTTATCTGAAGTAAAGACAACTAGTACTGTTGAATGAAGTTTCTTTGCCTAATGTGTTGTATTTCGCGATCAAAGAAATCTAAGCGGTCAAATACTAGCATTTTGCATTAAGATTTAACTGAGATGGTTATGAAGATATGAGATAATAACATGCAGTTTATTCAAATGAGACTAAAGACACTTCACCCGAGAAATAGTAAATATGACTTGTAATCAATCTTTGATCATGCACATGGACTGACTGAGTTCCACTTTTTAAAAGCTATAAGAGAAAAAGGCAAATATAAATAATTAAGTATGCAGTGTTGAATACTGTACTCACAGGTCCTTTTCGGACAGTAACTTTTTGTTTGAGTGGAGACAATACGGTTATACCACGACCGACAAATGGTACACTAGAATCGTAAGTCAACAGTCTTGGTTGCTCAGATGAACCACCAAAATAGGTTGAATACACGGCTGAAGAATCCAGATGGCTCCAACAGACTAAGCCCATATCTTTCCAAGATGACGTCGTGCGTTTGTACAGAACTAGTGTGCCTGAGGGACAGAAAGATTGTAATATGTTACTATAGTAAAATAACATACTTTTTAATGCTGGCTTCTACAAAAATCCATGATATGAAATAGAAGTAGAAACAAGGCGAATGGTCCCTTTTGAAAACCTTAAAGAGGATAGATGCTTAACTACTTGGTTTGTTGCTAATGCAATTTAAGGAAAATTTCTTCGTGAAATTGAAATACCTTCAGCAACTTTGTGCACATCCGTGCAGTAGACAATGAGCTATTGTGTGCGGGTCAATAATATTACCTCGCTGCCCAAACCTCAGTAGACAAAAAGGTTTCTGATCACTTGACTCATGGGTTGGAAGCTAACTGCATAAACCGATGAGCCATGGCTCCATCAGTAAGAAAAAGAGACAAGTTGACTTAGATACAATATGCTATCACGTTTACTTACTGCTAATCCTAATCGTAGATTTTTGGTTGAGTTGGTGTACTATTCTAAGTGTATGTAGTTATTAACATTCTCTGCCACATGTATTATCCAACAAGTAATAGTATTACGTCTCATGCACACTTCAGTTTGCATTTCATTATTCAATAGTTAAAATACCACTAGTAGTCACCAACTGTTGTCAGTTTTGTCTGAAGGACACTATAGTTCAATTTCCTTTTTCATTACTTGAAAGGTAAACGTAAATAAAATAAAATCTGATCTCATTTGATGACATACTATCGAGTAAATCACAGATAATTCGAAGTAATTCTTACATACATTCCGGTAGAATATATTCTGAAAATTTCCAAGTCCGAGATCTGTCTTGTTGGTAACCTCTCTAAAAAAAATACCAGACTATGTAATACAAATATTTACTTGGGAATGTAATCATATTTAGCTATAATGACTAATGACCAAATCTCAAGACTGAGAAAGGAAATCGTACATGACAATAAACGTCCAGATTATTTTAGAAATTTTGTTGCACAGCAAACATGCTAACCATATAAACCATCCATGAAACTTACCATTTGGAGAAACATAACTTTCAAAATATTCTGTAACATGAATAGATGTCTGTCGAACTCTACGCATGCAGCCAGCAGATTGTATACCATCAGGACTTTCTACATCACAGAATGACCACATAAACGGACTAGGAAACGCTGCATCAGCCCAGTCTGGTAAATCTTCAGACGCTTGAGTTTGTCCGCATTCCAAACTTAGAGGGAGATCATTGATGGATAGGGGAGGTAAAAATTCGGTCTGCTTGACAGGACGTCGTACCATACCTTTACAATTGTGGCAAAGTAATTAAAACGACATTGTAAGTGACACAAAAATAAGAAAGAAAAAAACAGTAATAAAGTTTTTGTGGAGATATACATTGACCAACTCAGATCAGTCCTAAGGTTCAGCAGCCGTGAAATTAGTATTTGACTACTAACCACTGAGTCACGGGTCCAAGTTCCAGACATTCAAGAAATAACTACTCGTCTATCCCACCATGATTGCCCTTAGCGAAGCTTGATACTAGATGGCTATCTGAAAATTTACATGGTGCTTAAGGTGCATAGTGACTTATGGATTGTCTGAAGAACAATGTGTACAGCTGCGAGTCATTGTTCTATGTACTCTACCAGGCTACGAGTTCAAATCCAGTCCCACCTAGTGATTTCTGGGAACTCAGGTAGTATCATTAACCCCCACAAGATAAGTGCAGCTGGCTGCATAGTACCCAAAAATGTACGTGATTGCTGAGACCTTAGTTTGAGTTTGGATACTAACACTAACTTACACGCATCACCCATGACTTCCTGTATACTGAAAAACTCTGTCCAAGTTTGCTGGGAAGGATTATCTCTTGAAAGGTGAAGTTAAAACTTGCATTTCGGATACGAGGTAGGCATCAAAACATTATCACAATACTATTAAGTCTTCAAGAGTTGAGCTAATATGAAAAAGTAACTCATTACATAGCTTGCTCTGGTTAGCCTATTTGGACAATATGCTAATCTTCACAAGTCGACTAACAACATAACTAGAAAGAGCGGAACTAACGGGCATTTATCTTGTTTTCACTTGCGCAGCCGATGACTGTCTCACTGTAAATTAAACATACTTCTTTTCATTTTCTTGTTATACTGTTGTTAGTTTAAATATTTACTTAAGTCTTTCTCAGTAGTCAGTCTAAATAATTTTAAGTGTTTAAATAATCATTTTTCACATACGCAGCCGAAACTGGTCACAGTTAAGTAGAACACAAAGAGTTTCGGACAGCAAACAGATATACTAGGATACTAGAAAGTCTTATCAGAAATCTAGACTGAATACTTAGTTTAGTCGTGAAAGACTCCGTCTATCGTTTCAAGGTGTTTCATGCGCAAACACATAACTCATACAAGTGCAATTCATTTTTGTAAGATTTGCGAAACGGGTGACAAGTTGTGGCTAACCAGACTACACACAGATTTGAACCCTTTGCCTGAAAATATTTAGGTAACAAGACAGTATCGCAGTCGTTATAAAGGGAGAATGCTCGCACCCACCCTCTATACTGAATCATGAGATAGCTAATTGAGTGAATGCTAACGAATGTAGTCACTAACGTTAATTTCCACATGAGAAAAGATAGTTTAGGATTGCCTTCCATACGAACTATCAAGCCGCAAAAGATACGTATGGCATCTAGGCACTTACAGCGCCTACTAGAGCATATAAGAGCTACGGGATCTGCAAGGAAGCTGATCGACTACACCCGTTGAACACGATGATAACCTAAACTACATAAAGACATCAGCGAATGTGTTCAAGCCTACGATAAATATTCAATAAACACCTGATACTGCCATAAACTTTCATCAAATAGTCCTTTAACACCGTGGGGCATTTGATGTGTAACAAAATCATTGTTCAGTCAGGTTATTCGGTCCTTTGAATGCTCCTTGAACCTTCATGTTCACTAACTCTCTCCCTCCTCAGCTTTCCACACTAGTTTACGCTCTTGTTTTGTACTTCGTATTTTAAATAATTTTTTCTTACACCCGAAAGTTATTCGGAATTCGTTAAATAAACCTCGTAATCATGCATGGGTTCATATACATGATTTGCATAACCCATGTTATAAGAGGTTGAAACGATAGCTGTCCGTTCAGACTGAAGTTGCTGGAGCTGATTTGCACCTGTGAACCTACCATTTAGGTTCGAGTGTGTGTATCACTGGGTAGTAAGAACTTACATTAATGTTGTATTATTGCCAGTTCATTTAAGTACTACTTATTTTTGCCTAAGGCCAAGGTGTCTAGTCGGTATGCACAGACAGAACAATCAACGTAGAACCTCACACACAAGTGCATTGGGTCAAGTTACCACACTTCACAGTAGCACACAAAAAACAAATGGATAGGAAAAGTGGACAAAGTTGTGTAAGAGAATAAACAATTTGAAGATGAAAGTTGGCGCAAATATTCGAACTTTAGAAGTCAAAACATGGATACATCTGAGCCACTGTGACCGATTTTCAGCTGTCACCAAGAGACCTCAACCACTAATTCTTATCGTTTCAAGGACCCCAGTCAGGTAGTCTACATCTCCCAACACAGGCTCAGGTCAAGAATCAGGGACTTCCTCGACTGGTGCCAGGTTTTGGTCCGACCCACCTTGGACCGTCTTCCAACCTAACCCAACATCCCCCAGAATTGCACATCAAGATAGGTGGTGGTGGCTCGGTGTGCACAGTACATGTCCAAGCCATCTCAGTTGACAACCTCATCAACCGACTTGCCTATCTTGCCTAGTACCCTTCGCCCGACCTCAACATTGCTCACACGATGATTGCACTAAACGCGAGCAATACTATGAAGACATCTGTGATCAAAAACCTGTAACCGTTTTGTGTTTTCAGGTTTTAACGGCTATCTCAGCCTTATAACAGGACAGAACGGACTGTAGGGCAGTATACTCGGCCTTTGATAGATAGTCGGATATCTCACCAGTTGACAGCACAGATGACGCAAACTGGCAAATGTGAAACGAGACTGGTCTATCTGAGCTGAGATTTCGTCAGCAACCAACCCGTTGGGGCTGATGCAACTCCCCAAGTAAGTGGATTACTCGACATATTCCACCACTTCACTTGGTGTCCTTAATTTCGTAGTAGGTGCACATCAGTCCTGAAAAGTCATCTTGCATTTGACAGGTGTCAGCGAAACACATGCCAAACATTTTCAGGTTTCGGCTCAACGTGTTCAAAAGACCCTGGATTTTGTCAACGTCTTCACGCAACAGAACAATATCGTCCACATACCCGAAGTCAACCAGGTAACCTCCAGAGAATAGATCAATCCCCATGAAGTCAGACGTACCTAAGATCATGTCCATTAGTACATATATGACGAAGTCAAATAGGAACGATGACAGTGGGCATCTCTGGCAGACAATACTAGTTGTCGTCAATTCATATGATACCTCTACGTAAGCCCTCACGCGACTGCATGAGTTCAAATAGAGAGCTTCGATTAGGGTTGTATACTTGCTCGGTACCCCCCTAACAGTCAGACACTGTCACAAGATCTCACGGGCGACAGAGTCGAATGCCGCTCTTAGGTCACCAAATATGGCAAGTATCAGCCACCGACTTAGTAGGTATGCTTGTGTTTCCGAACCTGTCGGGGAGGGTGAAAATATGATCGATACACCGTTGTCCGGCTCTGTCTGAAACCTGCATGTGTTTATCCAGTTTGTTGTTCTCGAGCTCCAGTTAGGCATCGGATAACTATGGATCCTAGGATTTCGGACACAATACTAGTCAAACTAATTTTCTTGTGTTAATATAAGAACAAGCGTTTGAACACCAGGAGACTAGTTCCCCTATGGTTGTCACAAGATTTCTCCCCTTTGTTGTAGACTGGGGATGATCAGTGAAGTACACCAACCTGACGGCACTGTCTCTGACTCCCATACACTACACAGTATCTCAATCTATCCAATCAGCAATTTCCTACCTCCATCCTTGTAAACCTTGGGTGGCAAACTGTTATGTCTTGTTGCTTTGCATCGTTTCAGGTTCGAGACAGCTTTCTCAACTTCAAGGAGAGTTGGAGGACAGACATCTATGTTCCATTCAGGTTCGGGGTGGGTGGATGTTGAGTGACTGAAGCGTTGCTGAGACTCAGTTGAACTGTACCTCGAGGTGTTCTGCCCAACGTTCTAGCCGCCAGTTCTGGGAGGTTATCAGCGTCTCATCCTTTTCGGTGGTGGTTTCACTAACCGTCGTCTTCTTGCCGGTATCCTTAATAAGCCTAATTAGTTGCTGGGTTTTACCCAACGTTAATGCCTTATGCATATTTCCTGCTCTCTCTTACTTGATGTGCTGATATGAGGTGTGGCAACTCGGACCGTTACGCAGTAATGCCTGGTCCTATGTTGATAATGATGATGATGATGATGCTCTCACCACCCACCACTTCTCGCCATCATTGCGAAGACTCTTGGTCAACTTACGTTTAAGTTGCTTTCGCTCTTTAGTGTGTTCAAAGTCAGTTGGAATCAGTCTTCTCGTATCATTCATTTCGGATGACGTTTGGGGAATCCAATAACGTTTGCTAACTTTTGGGTGTAGGTTACCAATTGTCTTTACCGCTGTTCCTATAGCAGACTTGAAGTCACGCCAAGTTTCCTTAGAATAAGCACTGCTGTCACGTTCAAATAAGTGCTTAGCTAACTCCTATTTAAGTACTTGATGTTGTTATCTTCCAATTTACTGTGGAAGTTTTTTTCTATCGTCTGTTTCCTGCGACCAGTAAGGCACAGAACTAAAAGCCCCTGGTAATGGGTTATCAGATTACAGGTTTTCCATAAAGGGGGGCAATCCTGTCCAACGATGACTTATAGCTATGTGATTTGTCTATGTTCACAGTTGGTTTGAAGTCGATGGAGGCTATTGAACACAATGACTATCCTCATGTTTAAAATTAGTGCTGGCCAGAAAATGGTGGTTGCTGGAAGAAAATTACCATACCTTCACCGTTGTCGTTTCGTTGGGATGGGATTCTGCAAATACCCTATTCGTCTTATTTTGGACTCGTCAGCTGGATGTACCTGCACGCCAGTGATGTTGTTCCCCCTGGGATTCGAACCTCATTTCCATCGCTTCAAACGCCAAGGCGTTATCTACTATGCCATGGAGGAACAATAGCGTGTCCTGGATTCTTCTGCTAGCTACAACCAACCAATTTATCATAATTAACATTCAGGCATTATCGAGGTATCCGCATAGGAGCCCATATGCCAATATAGGTCGAACAATTCGATCCAACAAAACAACGGAAAATAACAAGTATGTCAATCAATAGTAGTAAGGTATGTTGTCTTCATCATTAAAGTGCAGAGTGCTTTTACAAATTGACGAGAGCTTTTAACCGCACTCACCCTTGGCAAGTCGCTAGAAGTTGACGAAAAGCTTGTTCAACCAAGTAATTGCGTGCTCTGGCGGTGTGAATGATGAAATGTCTAACCTTGTATCGAAAGCTAAAGTACCAAACGCCAATCTCGGTCATCTTTGGTATCATCATGGCGTTAACCCTGACATAAAAGCCGAATATACAACGTATCGATGCGCGTAGTTCTGCAATCTATAAAAATATGACATGTCCGAGCTGGGGTTATCCAACGACTCCGCGTTTCAGATCATAAGTGTCTCCTTATGAGTGATCGGATATGATGAAAACGTGACATCTGGTACAGTGAATTCCGTAGCAAAATACACTTTAAGTCTTATACACAGATAGCTACGTAACTAGTTAGCAGCTAAATACATATGCACGCATCGGGTTGTAAGCTACACTTATCAAATGAATGTATATGACACTGCCTGAACGCTAAAATCTTTGATAGGTGAGGCAACTAGGTATTTCTAGTTTTAAACATTTCATATGAGGATAAAACCCAACGAAGTTACTTGGACCATTGCAGTTTTACGTTTGTCTATCAATAACCCTGAATAAACCCAAAATACGGAACTTACGTTTATGGTAATAATAAGCATCCTGTATTTCAATGAAATTTGAAATTAACTCTCCATTCTTGTTGTGGAATTTGCAAGAATAAAAGCCGTCGAGCAGTTCATCTCTAACTGGTAATCTAGAAGAAAAGGTGTATCCTGAGAAATAGGTAACGTAAGATAAAGCAATACCTGAGGATCTGTTGCCATTGACGCTGAACTCAACACGGCCAAAGACAACATTTCGCATTTTAGGATCAATGCATTCATCTAAATCGTGCGTGGACTTCTGAAGCAACAAAAAATCAAGAGGGTTTATTCAACAAGTAATACCACTACATAAATTATATATATAAGCGGTGCCATGATGGCTGTGCAAGGGCACACAAAAAGTGTAATACTTTTCGTTTAAGCGTGAAATACCAAGGACAACAAAATATCCTGTTTCTTATGGCTAGCTAACCGTGATGAAAAGAGAACTACTAGCCAAATTAGTTGACTATATTAAGGAAACTCCACCATTCACTTTGGATTAATTGACACGCAAAAACTCATATCTAGATGTCTTGTTAAGGGGTTCAGAAGATGTTTCCTAGCTACTGGTAGCACAACATTTTTTAAGCAATAATGCTGGTTCTAAGGTTAAAATCAAGAATATGGTAGCATCTAACAGCACTCAGAATAAACAGTGAAACTTTGGTAAACACCTCACACACAGGGCATTTGGACGGAATGCCTTTAAAACAAGAAACGGTATTTAGAAAACATATAGTATTCTTCATGAAGATGGGATCAAGGCTGTCGCATAAACAGTGGTAGTAGTAATATGAAACCTGACCAACAATCTTACAATGAGAATACAGCAGATGAGTGTTAGGAAAGGGTCAAGAAAGTATGAATCAATACATCGGAAACATTACGACTTATCCTCAAAAAATTGTCCGGCTATTTCGACCTTCTTACGAGTCCTACTCATGACCGACATTGTATCTGGAATAATGAGGCCCAAACTGGCTACATATTTCTCCCCGAAGCTATACTTCTGACACAATATCATACCGTTTAACGGTAAGATCATGGATATAAGACCACAAAGATAATAACAAACTATTACCACCTGATTTTCATTCCTGAAGACGACCGACAAAAAGAAATCCAGCGGTTGTACTTACATTATTCTCAACTAGCGAAGCTTTCACTTTGGCTCAGAACATCGTACTGGCTTTCAACAGTCGATAACTAACCTTTGGACGAACATTAACAGACAGTGTACTATTCATTGCCCCAAACAAAATTGTGACGTAAACCAGATAGATTCACATTGTTAGGATCAGAAAGAAAATCAAAATCCTACCATTAAACGTGTTAACTTACTCTGCGACACAGATAAGCAGATACAAGTTCATGAGCTGGGTCAAGTGGAGCAACAATACAGTGTATTTTTAACACTGGGAGCTCATTCAGATGCTCAATTATCCTAATGCGAACTTGCTGTCGTATAGTTGCATCTATTTCGATGGGATTTTTGAGTCCAGGATGTTCGTAGAAATAAACACCATGGTCAACACCATTTACAGACACAAATTGTAGGTATTGCTCTTTCGATGACAGCCCTGAAAATACTTTCAAAGACGATATTTCCTCACTTACCATGTGACACTTCAAGGGCAAGCAATAACAAGCAAAACAACAGAGGCATTCTTCTCATGAATGCTGACTACAGGATATGCCTACTAATATTTCAGAAACGTTTGGACAACCGCCATATGCGAAGGTTAGGTTTTGATATCAATTGTTAACCCCATAAATTTTAACCTTGCAATGTCCAATACCTTCCAGTTTCAGTTTTAATATATATGGTTCAAATGATTCAGATAAAGATAATCGAAGAACACACATCCGATTTCCCTATGGATTTGCAACAAAATACATATCCTGTCTTTACATGAGAGATTCAGTACAAATTTATTAAATAAGTTCCTCCGAAAATGATTCCAGAAACAAACCTCCAGATAAAAATGATACAACAATCTGTTAACTTCGCGTTGGTGTTCCATAAACTACTTGACTCCAGAAGATGCGAGTGAATAGAATGGACCCCCATCTAGGTTATTACTAAAGATACAGAATCGAGATCTGAGACTTCTCGGCCATCAGTGTAAGGAATGAAACTGACTGATTTAACATGAAAAAGTCCAGAGGGCGTCTGCATCCCTATGCTTCTGACCCTTGGAGTTTGTCCCGACATACTTCCTCCACATATGAAACGTAAGCTAGACATCTGGACTCCATATTTTAAGTGAGGTCAGATATCTGGCATGTTTGGCTTCCGTGACATATCCTCATTGGTACTTTTAGAGGCTATACCAAAAGATAATACAGCTTCACAAACTGCACTTGATGCTGTCTCGCAACTTCCCACAATCTTGCGATCATCAATCCCAATCACTTCTAGATCGTGGTACTCAAAAACTTTGCACATGGATTAGTTGTGAACGATTGCTCCCGTAGATTGTTATGACTTGTGTCCATAAAGGCCTTCACGCTAGTGCTAGTCTCTGGTGACCACTAACTAGCGCATCCTATAAAAGTGGTCAAATACCTTTTAGAGCTAAGTTGACGCTATCACTAAGTGTGACTTTTCAAAAATTCAGGTCATTCAAAGGACATTTTTCACCCCTAAGCTGTCTATTATCTACAAGAAAGTCACTGATGCGATCCATTAACCTGTAGGATTTAGAACACTCGGGTTTCATACATTCCTGAGTGAAACACCCCATGAAAGGCGTTACGAAAGTCAGACGTTATTACGTCAATGGAAATGTTAGCGCAAACTACTGTCACAAGGTCCTCTGTTTCAATGAACAGGTCAGCTAAACATAGAAATAAACAGTCCCGTTCCTTACGGATCTTCCTCCCTTATGGTCAGTTTTCTACGTAACCAAATGCATTTAGGAACATTCACCAAATTCAAGCTACTGCTTCCAGAGGACTAATGGTTTATAAAGTTGTAGGAGGTTTCAGCACTATTCAAGCCATTCAAATCGTCTATTAACAAGCCTCAGAATAGCTTCACTACTTCTGGTTCTTCTCGTTATATAAATGAAATTCCCCGACTACGTTTATTTCGTGCTGGCCTAAAATTTTCGATCGATGACTCACTGTGTTATCTTGCCTAGTATATGCAAGTCTGAACTGTTGACAATCAATGGATATGAAAGGCCCCGTAGGTTATTTGCTCTTAGACAGTCGCTGAAATTCATTAGCATCAATTGGTCGGATTGTAAGGTATAACCCAGCTGGCGGAGTAAACCTTATTCATCCAAGTGGCTTCCCAAACCTGATCCGTTTCTGACCGATTGGTGAATCACAGATAGCCGACCATTTTACAGATTTAGCACACCTAACACCCTACGTTCTCACGCCATATTCTCAGGTTGAGACGAGTTAGTCTGTGAACCATGTTAAAAACTCTGAACATGTATACGGACACTGTTCACCGCTTACTGAAGAAAGGACACTAAGAAATGTATGTGCGTCTTTAGCCTAAATCGTCCAACAGGCAGCTTCAGTCCCACAAAAGTACGCCAATTTCTATTAGTTATGTGTCATTCATAAGGACATAGGGAAGTAAATTCTCAAAACGAAGGATCCCATTGGCTTTGAAACTACCATAACTGTAAAGACACTTGAATGTCGTTGTGAGCCTCACTCTTGGTTTGGGCATTTGATCTTCTATTCACGACAAACGCCCATTACCCTGACTGGCAGCTGAAGTTTAGTCCTCATCAACCTTAATTCCAGTTATCATGGTTCAACCCTGTATTATCTTCATTATAGTAGCGAGGGTTATAATAACAAGGTTGTATACTTTGTGCAAACGTCAATCAGAATACAAAGACTGTAAAACCTGGGGATGGCCGGTTTCATATTAGATCAGGTTATTCGGAAAATCACACGATGATGCAGTATTAATCATCGTGTAACGTTCACGAAATAGTTTGCTGCTCATTATCATTTTACCGTGCAGGGGTAAATTCAGGCACTTTGGTCGCTTATTTTACATAGCAAACATTGATATATCATTGTTTACTGGATAATGCACTGGATGGTTCCAGCCAACGTTCGTTCCTTTGAGCACTTATTTTCACGTGTAACAACGCCAAGTACGTTCTTTACGTGAAATGGAAATAGTTGGTGTCTCACTCAGATATTCTATTGGTGGCACTCATGAACTTTACAGAGCTATGTGGGTGTGTATGAGTGCTTTACGAATTGTCCTGGTGCAAACTTGATAAACGCAGGGGTCAATCACTAACTATTCGAACTTGTTATATACCCACGAATTCGAGGCCAAGGAAGAAAGTAATAGCGTAGTCGGGTTGAATAGTATATTTGTGAGGTAGTGCAAAGATACCAATGCATTCCAACTAACTGGTTAGGGGGCCGAATGCGAGCAGTGCAACGTAACACCACACCGTGCCAAATGATGAGAATGCCCGACCGGGTCCCATCATCTTAGCGACTCCAGTTAAGCTATGAAAGTCAAAATCAATGTTGAATCTCGCCGAACCCTGGGCAGTTTATTCTGAAGAAGCGTGTGATTCTACACTGCCATTTGGCCATAAGACTCACACAGAAGTCGTGCTTAATTCCAAGACAAGTGGATGTCGCCCATCAGCAACCAATAATTATTTCTTGGAAGTTCAATAACTGTAGTCTTTCCTGTCGTTGACACATCCCATAATTTTTATTGTAATTGCGAGCACTGACAGGCATATTCGTATGGAGGCTCAAAATCTCCAGGCACTAGACTAAGGCTCATAAACTACACAATATGCATGACCTACGGTATAATAATCACAGTGATGGTACATCTCGATCAATAAATTGTACGAACACACCGCTTTTGTCTGGATGTTATTGATGCTGGTGAGGCTGAAAAAATTTTAAAAAATACATTGCCATACCACGCATAGTCTGCCAGGATGCAATAATTTGCATGTTGCTGGTCACAAATATTAGATGATAACTCCTTTGCTACACGGAACACAGGAATTGTCACCCGACATGAGCTTTAATCAGCAACTGCTATTAGGCCCCGAGACTTCAGTTAACGAGTCATATAGAACGTAAAAGTGAATAGAACATCAAATGCCGAGCACAAATAAAGCTGAAAAATGCGAATAATCAATAGGTTTTCCCTGCTTACTCAGAGCATTTAAGGCTAGATTTAAATCCTGGTATGAACCTATGTCAAGTAGCATGTAGTGACTGTATGGGTCTATGTTCTAAATTTGCCCCAACATGGCAAAATGATTATGAGCAGCAAACTATTTCGTGAACGTTACACGATGATTAATACTGCATCATCGTGTGATTTTCCGAATAACCTGATCTAATATGAAACCGGCCATCCCCAGGTTTTACAGTCTTTGTATTCTGATTGACGTTTGCACAAAGTATACAACCTTGTTATTATAACCCTCGCTACTATAATGAAGATAATACAGGGTTGAACCATGATAACTGGAATTAAGGTTGATGAGGACTAAACTTCAGCTGCCAGTCAGGGTAATGGGCGTTTGTCGTGAATAGAAGATCAAATGCCCAAACCAAGAGTGAGGCTCACAACGACATTCAAGTGTCTTTACAGTTATGGTAGTTTCAAAGCCAATGGGATCCTTCGTTTTGAGAATTTACTTCCCTATGTCCTTATGAATGACACATAACTAATAGAAATTGGCGTACTTTTGTGGGACTGAAGCTGCCTGTTGGACGATTTAGGCTAAAGACGCACATACATTTCTTAGTGTCCTTTCTTCAGTAAGCGGTGAACAGTGTCATTATGATGATGCCTATAAACTGTCCTCTCTCGTGGTAAATCGCTAATGTGGGAATTAAACATTTATTTATTTACTCAACTGGCGTGTTCGATTTATACGTTTGCGGTTATTAACCTCAGTTTTCGAAGCAGATTTATGTCTGGGTATTATGCAGGAAATCTTCAACATATCAGTGTGTGTAGAAGTCTCCATGTTCATGGAGTATACTTTAAGTCATAACAACAAAATTTCAGGGCCCCTGCTTTTGAAGAAGTGTGAAGCTATGCCGTCAATACCCATACTGCTGGAGAACTTAAGTGTTTTAATGTTCGGTTAATGTTAGCACATATAAAATCAGTGGTGCCAATGGGTTCCAGTACTGGAGAGGAGAACTGATCGTCAAGTTTAGCTAAGTTTACATTAGCGGTGGAGATTGCTGACGGTAAGTAGCTAACAGTGGACGTGTTACTGAATGACAAACTTGCTTTTTGGGATTAATCCCGGTTTGCACTTCACAGATGCAAAGACCAATCACTAATTTTTCTAACTTGTCATGTAACCACGAATACGAGACCAAGGAAGAACACGATAGCGTAGTCGGATGGAATAGTATATTTGGGTGGTTGTGTCAAAGTACCGATGCGTTCCAACTAACTGGCTAGAGAGTCGAATACGAGAAGTGCAACGTAATACGACAGTGTGTCAAATGGCGAGGTGCCTTCAGCTTAGCGAGTCCAGTTAAACTATCAAGGTCAGCATCAATGTTGAATGTTGTCAAACCCTAGGCTATCGATTTTGGGGAAGTGTGTGTCGCTGCAATTCTTCAGGCCTACCATAATCGGTACCATAGTGAGTGAGGAAAGAAATATTTTGCTTTGGCTGA